AGTCAGTTCCCGTCTGACAATTAATTCAAAACCCAGTTCTTGGCTGGTAGTCAGTTCCCGTCTTGCAATTAATTTAAACCCAGTTCTCGTCTGGTAGTCAGTTCCCGTCTGACAAATTAATTCAAAACCCAATTCTTGTCTTGTAATCAATTCCCGTCTGACAATCAATTCAAAACCCAGTTCTCGTCTGGTAGTCAGTTCCCATCTGACAAATATTTCAAAACCTAGTTCTCATCTGGTAGTTAGTTCTCGTCTGACAATTAATTCAAAACCCAGTTCTCGTCTGGTAGTCAGTTCTCGTTTGACAATAAATTCTAAACTCAATTCTCTTCTGGTAGTAAGTTCTCGTCTGACAATCAATTCTAAACCCAGTTCTCGTCTGGTAGTCAGTTCCTGTCTGACTGTCAATTCTAAATCTAGTTCTCACCCTGGACAACCATTTCTAAGTAAATTCTTTTTGTCGTTCCTCTCCTCCTTTTTTGGTTAGGTATATGTTTAACATATGACGCTATCAGAATTCTAGCAATTGACCTTTTTTCGGGATCGAGGATCGTCCTTAGATCCTACCCCCTTTCGATATCTTGTTTCAGGTTGCGGGTTGTCTTGATACCTCCCCTCTTGATGTCCTTCCATGGGTCGTGGATTATTCTAATATCCCACCATCTTGTCATCTTGTTTCAGGTTGTGGATCATCCTGATACCTCCCCTCTTGATGTCCTTCCATGGGTCGCGGATTATTATGATATCACACCATCTTTATGTCTTGTTTCAGGTCGCGGGTTGTTCTGATACCTCCCCTCTTGATTTCCTTCCATGGGTCGCAGATTGTCCTGATATCCCACCATCTTGCCATCTTGTTTCAGGTCATGGATTATCCTGATACCTCCCCTCTTGATGTCCTTCCATGGGTCGCAAATTGTCTTGATATCCCACCGTTTTGTCATCTTGTTTCGGGTCGCGGGTTATCCTGATACCTCCCCTCTTGATGTCCTTTCTCGGGTCGTGGATTGTCCTGATGTCCTACCCTGTCAAAACCTAGTTCTCGTCTGGTAGTTAGTTCTCGTCTGACAATTAATTCAAAACCCAGTTCTCGTCTGGTAGTCAGTTCTCGTTTGACAATAAATTCTAAACTCAATTCTCTTCTGGTAGTCAGTTCTCGTCTGACAATCAATTCTAAACCCAATTCTCGTCTGGTAGTCAGTTCCTGTCTGACCGTCAATTCTAAATCTAGTTCTCGCCCTGGACAACCATTTCTAAGTAAATTCTTTTTGTAGTTCCTCTCCTCCTTTTTTGGTTAGGTATATGTTTAACATATGACGCTATCAGAATTCTAGCAATTGACCTTTTTTCGGGATCGAGGATCGTCCTTAGATCCTACCCCCTTTCGGCATCTTGTTTCAGGTTGCGGTTTGTCCTGATACCTCCCCTCTTGATGTCCTTCCATGGGTCGTGGATTATTCTAATACCCCACCATCTTGTCATCTTGTTTCGGGTTGCGGATCATCCAGATACCTCCCCTCTTGATGTCCTTCCATGGGTCGCGGATTATTGTGATATCACACCATCTTTATGTCTTGTTTCAGTTTGCGGGTTGTTCTGATACCTCCCCTCTTGATTTCCTTCCATGGGTCGCAGATTGTCCTGATATCCCACCATCTTGCCATCTTGTTTCAGGTCATGGATTATCCTGATACCTCCCCTCTTGATGTCCTTCCATGGGTCGCAAATTGTCTTGATATCCCACCGTTTTGTCATCTTGTTTCGGGTCGCGGGTTATCCTGATACCTCCCATCTTGATGTCCTTTCTCGGGTCGTGGATTGTCCTGATGTCCTACCCTGTCATCCTTTCGAGTTGTGGATTATCCCGATATATTATCCTCCTACCTCTTTCACCATAACAATCCTTCCTCTCTGAGAACTTCGTATTGGCACCATTTCCCCGATATAGATTATCACTATTCAACCGCGCTTTTGCATCACAAACCTTTTCCCCAGGAAACGTCCCACAAAAATTAGAATAACATCCATCCACACTTTCCCTCAGAACCAATTTTTGGCATTGATATTTAATCATCTTCCACCTTGAATGTTCGAAAGACTAGCGTCAATCTCACCTTCATGGTTTAAGACGATTAAATAGGGGCAACTATAATACCCCAAAATTTTCCTACCCTTTCACTTTTATTTGGCTTATGTATTTTGCACTTCTCGTTTCATCTGCATACCCTCCATTAGGTCATTTAACACATCATGCATTATTAATCAGCAAATTTAACATGGGATCAAGGGTATTGAAGAGTTAGGGTTTCTTTGTAATTTAAGGCTCTCATTTTCATTCAAAGGTTAATTCAACTTGTTTGTTCATCATTCATTGGTTTGAAGCTAGATTCTTATGTTCATGATTATTGAGAACTTCTTTCTCTCATTAAGATACAAGGTTGTCATCTTCATCAAGTTTCAGGGTTTTATTGTCAATAAATCAAGGGTGTGATATAGCACACATGGTCTTTGAATAAATACATCCCCTCATATGAGTGTGCTTATCATTTGGTCAATGTTAATGACTATGGCATTGTTACATTGGATTCGTCTATTCATCGGTCAATCAATTAGGGTTGTCTATGTCAAGATTCAAGATACTTTGTTTGAAGTCCTCGCTGATCAACAATTAAGGCAATATCATCGCAAATTCAATCGTGAGATTGGGGTTTCTAATGAGATGAGAGCATGGAATGAAAGTTGGTTTTGAATGCATTTCTTATGGAGATAAAACACGGATACAAGGGCTAATGCATTAGGGATTCAACATATCCTAGGTCATTCAAGGCATGGTTCCGGTTATCACTTTCAATACCATTCAACATTGTTTTTAGTTCTAAGTTCATCAAAATTCATTCGACAATACTCAAGTTGTGATTCAAGATGTGATTCATTCAAGTGGAGTTCATTCGGAATTCAAGAAGCAAAAATATCAAAATCAAACTAATTCATCCTTTGACTTCATTCGAAAATGATTTAAGTTCATTTCTGTTTCAATTATCATATACCATGTTCATTACACTATAACCGCCATGAATCCAAACACCATTAATCATTTCGAATCCTTGGTGAATTACAAGTTAAAGTACAAAGTTGATTAATTTCAAAAGCTATTAAATTTCATTACAAACAACATGAGTTCATTGTAAATTCTTCACAAGAAATACACAAAATCAATCAATTTGCCTAAATCTAAGGTCATAACTCCAAGCTTCCATGGCACATCTTTGATTCAGCTCCAAAACATTACTATAACTTTCACCAATACCCTCTGCCATACTTTTCTGACCAAGGTACTTCAATAATACACCAAGGATAAGCTCCGAGAATCTTGCTCCAAACCTGAACTTACAAGGAATCAGATCCAAACAACATCCCATGCCTTAAACCATCCTCATTGTCATACCAGTCCATAAACCATTTTCCAACAACACCTTGTTTCTAATCCAATTCCCTGCAACACAAACAAAACAGTGTCCTACTAAATTAAAGAAACAAGGAAGGGAGTTAACTGAGAAATAAAGTGTGCCTTGTATTAGAAATTTGTTTAAATAAACAAATGGAAAATTCACAATGATTTCCAGGTCAGATGGTAAAATTTGATAACAGTTTTCGAGGCTTCAAACTTAATCTCTAACTACCTTAAACTCCACATTCTAATTGTTCTTAACTGTTTTTTACTTTCAAACTAACTACCGTGACAGTTCCTAACAGTAACTAACAACTTCGTAACATAACTTCTAACAGCTAACCAATTCGCAACTAACAGATTTATAATTTTTCTAACAAACTCCTAACTCCCATAACCATCATAACTGAATCCAATTCTCATCATCAAATCTCCTAACTGTTTCTAACAGAATGTCAACAACCCTCTAAGCCGCACCATTCAATCTTATAACAAAACCAACAACCATAACAGAATTTCCAAGCTCATAATTAACTTCTAAATCTCTAACAAATTTATCCTATAACCAACTTCTAACCAACTTCTCAAACTCTATCACCATATAACAGAATTTCAGATTTAGCCATAAAAAGATACGATTCAACGCTTTCACACAAAAAACTTTTCACGAATTTATGAGAAAATCAAAATCAGAGAAAAAAGCTCACCGAAAATATCTCAACTCCATCTCTCTCTCTCTCTCTCTCTCTCTCTCTCTCTCTCTCTCTCTCTCTCTCTCTCTCTCACTCTCTCTCTCTCTCTCTCTCTCTCTCTCTCTCTCTCTCTCTCTCTCTCTCTCTCCTTCTCTCTCTCTCTCTCTCTCTCTCCTCCTCCTCTCTCTCTCCTCACTCCTCTCTCTCTCTCCTCTCTCTTCTCCTCTCTCTCTCTCTCTCTCTCTCTCTCTCTCTCTCTCTCTCTCTCTCTCTCTTCTCTCTCTCTCTCTGCACTTCACAGATCTCCAATCATATTCATCTTCTACTTTAATCTTCAAATTCTATTCACATTCTTCACAACCTCTTGAAGAATCACACCAGAAATTCCACCTTCATCTGCAACTACTTCAATCTTCATCAATGGTAACAACAAGCTTCTTCACCGTAGACAACAACAAACACTTGCATCAAAGCGGAATACCACATCACTACTGTAACAAGAAATGCATAAATTCAAGGGAAGTGAAAGAAGATTTGAAATCAGAAGCGGAGAGTAGAAAAACGTTAACTGAGCTCGTAGCATCGCCAGAATCTCGCTATCCATTATTGTCTTCAGGGTTGTATTCCTAGGGTTTGTCCTTCACCTAGGTTGGCCGAGTCTGAGAAAAAATTGAGATAAATGAGGATTAGACATAAGAAGAAGAGGAAGAGAGGACTCTGTAATCGGTAATTTGAAGTGATACAGATCTCTACCGCCGCCGAGGTGATTCTCGATGCGGTGAAGCTTAACCCGAAATCGTAGAAAGAAGAAGAAGAGCATGCACGATAGAAGACATACCTTTCAATTTTCATCACCTTCATCAGAAGCAAAACTGAAGCCTACAGCATAAGTAGTCATGCAAAGACGAGGAGACGAAAATTGGTGAACGATGATTGAACGGGGGGAGACGATCCGAAATGGAGTTTGTCACGGTGAAGGCACGAGCGAGTTGAGGATGAGCCGTTGAGGCAATGCGGAGATAACAAAATATGAATCTGAGAAGAAGGGATTCGGTCGTGCCGTTTGCAACGGAAGGAGAAGCTATCTCGGTTTCACGATGAAGTCCAAACATCACAACTTGAACCCTAAATAGATGATGTCATTTTTGTTCTCCTTCATTTCTCTGGATTTATTTAATTCTTTGAACTCTTTTTATTGAATAACAAAATGTTCAGGATGGAATGGGAAGTTCAGGGATGAGCCAAATTTTCTTTGATTAGGCCCTCTCTTTATGTTTTTTCTACTTGATGTTGAAGCCATAAAGAATGAGTATGGATTCATGTGGTTTGGGCTTAGTGCTGAAATTTTGGTTGCTATTCAGTATCATTGCATGTTGTTTGTATCCCTTGAGCTTTTCCATTTTTATTTGCTTCTGACAACTATTACAGATGAGTTTTAATTGATCAGTTGAAACTTCCGCAAGCTTCTGTAGAGTTTTCTTATTGCTTGCAGGGCTTTGAGGAGGCAACGGACCTTCTCTGTTAGCTATAATCGTGATCTCATTTTATTCCTCATTTCCGCACTTTATCGTATTTCTTTACTGCTTTTCGATTCCATGAGAAGTAGGGTAGAGATATATGGAAGGGATCTTCATTGCTAATATATGTCAAGAATCCCTCTGGTTTATTTAAAGACCTGTTTAGGGAAATTTCGCGTTATTTGCCACTGTGTGCTACTTGTGTGTGGTTTGTTTAAAACCCTACCTTTGTGTAGGTATTTTGCAAGTGTGTTTACATTTGTGCTCACATTTTTTAGAGATGATAAGTCCTCAAAAGGAGGCGAGTGGAAAGGGTTCACAATCAACCCCTGTAATTTCGTCTGTGTCATCCTTAGCTTGTGATACACCACGATGCTTTGGAGTTGTGCCTACTCTTTTTATCGAGTCGTCAAGTGGAAAAGGGTTTCACAATCAAACCCCAACACTTTGTCAGGAGTTCACATTGACCGATGCTGACACTCTGTGATTTTTCATATTGCCTTCTGTTTCCTACCTCGCTCTTCTATATCTTGGTTAGGTGTTCAGTCGCTTTGGACGTCACATTTTTGTTTTTCATCTCATTCTCTCTTGTTTGCTTCGGGTGATTCGCTCCCCTTAGCTAAAGAATTTCTCTTCTTTTATATTTCACACTGTTTGTTTGTCTCGGGTGATATGCTCCCCTTGACTAAAGCATTTCGCTTCTTTTCTTTACCATTTTATATGTATGCTCTTTCGAGCTTGTTTGCTCACCTACTTTCTATACCATATTCCCTTAGGATGTGATCGTTCCTTTTGGATGCAAGTTAGACCTTAGGTTACAAACCTTGCATGCTAACATTAGGTAGACGTTTTCCTTTTTTTAATCTAAACCTTAGGACCATCATTGTATGATAACATTAGGATTAAAAATAGGCTAGTCTCCCGTAGACTCTTTTATTCCCCTTTTGCATATGCATTAAAACTAAAACTTTGTTTTTCTTAGCAAATCATAAAACTTAAACCCTTTTTCAAGGTGACAAAATACAAACCAATCAAACGTGGCATCTTGCCTTGAGGGTGTAACTCAGAACCATTTTCAGGTAAGGACATGTTAATTTACTTCTGTGCCAATGCATGAGTCTCCAAAGGTTGAGCTGCGGTAGAAGGCAGAAATAACACTGTTCATAAAAAACATAAAACAAACAGAAACATGTAAGCCGAACTACGGTAACTCTGTTTCCTCAAAAAGGGATATGTAGGCATTGAGGTAGGGCCCAAGCGAGCACAACTTTATTTTCCCTACATTATTCTCTCAGTTCTTTTGCATTCATTCTTTCTTAATAATAAGCAGTAAACATGGATTAAATACACCCATAAGATAGATAACAAGAGTGAATACTATAGAGTACTACAGGCGTGTTGGGTGCTAATACTCTCCCCTCGTGTAATAGACTCCCTTACACGATCTCTCGGTCACAAGACCATGACTTCTCCCATCTCAAGTTTTCTCGATGTTTACCTTTGCCTTCATGTGGGACAAAATACATTCGAGGGCGACTTCATTGATTGATAATTTTCAGCTGGTTGTTTCAGTGGTTGACCATGATACTTAGCCCTTTGAAGAGGTCTTCTTCTCTCAATGGAGACAACATTTGTTTCACCTTCCCTCTTCTTATGGAAATTCCCAAAGGATTTCCTTGCCCCATTTGAAGATTCACCAGTGTAGTGGTAGAAATGTTGAGACTAAGCCATTGGATTGACTTGACTCGCACATATCAAATAAAAATTGCCACCATGCTTTATTGTTTCCAATGGAATGTGAAAAGAGCAAATAACCCAAAAAAGAGGGGGAGAGAATCTAGGTACGAGCTTAGGTTATGCAAATGGAAGGTATTAACACCCTAAACATCTACGATACTCCACAGGAACCTCTTTGAAAATTTGTGTATTTTAGCTATAAATGTTTGTATACAAAAATAGATGGTGGAGATGAGGAGAGAAGTATTTTTTACAATGTTTTCACCCACCGTGGTTGCGAATCTTTAGCGCCTATGTACCACCTTCTGTGCAATAGGGGATTAGGGTACTCATAGTTCACCTTTAAAAATTTTGAAACACATGTCTGTTAATTTTTAAGAGAAGAAACATCATTGTCTTATCCGAGTGGAAAAACATATGTACTACCCACGATTACGAGAAAGGAGAATTTGCATCATCTCAACATGGAGGATATAGCTTGGATTTTAAAATCAACAAAGCCTCGCTCAACACCCAAATGAAAAATATCTCGCTTCACTACATATTGTAGAAGTATAGTAACTCACGTCACTACAAGGATTGACAAGAGTCTGCTCTTTTGAGAAAAAATTTGAAGTAAAAAGCAAAATTGGTAAAATGGTTTGAATTAGATTGATTAACTTTTTGTCTTATCATGAAAATGTCAAAATATGATTAAGTTGGTTAAAGTTTGATTAAGAAAATATTTTTTGAAAATGCATGGACCTAAATCCTAGTTTATTGTTAAAGTGGATCAAGTTAGAAACCAAGAAGAGTTTTGAAAAGGAGGGAGAAGATTTTTGAAATTAAAGAAGATGAGAGGAAATGAAGGGACTATCCTAAAGCAATAAAAGGCAAAATCTAGGCAAAAGAACCGTCTAACCAACAAGAAGCCAACACTTGACACAAAGGGTCAATGTAGAATTCCCATCCTTTGGCCTGAAACCAAGCAAGAAAAGATACTAAACCTCTTAAGAATACCAAGTTTCAGATGCGTTAAGTCTTCTTAAAAGTTAGGAAGAGTAACGGCTGTATGTAGAGAAATTCCCAATCACAGACAAAACGTATAATCAGAATAACCTGCACACAAAGAAAATTAACCCAATGTCTTGGGTAAACCCCAAGAACTCCAGACATTATAACAACAGAGTCACAAGGTCCTAAGAGTGGTCAAGGTTTCTAATCCTATGTCCGAGAAGTCCATAACTCCATAATGCCAAGGATAGTAACCAAATAGTCCAAGTAACTTTAAGGTTTTTACTGTTCAAGTTGATTATTAAGTTTCTTCAAAAAGAAAATGAAAAAGCTTAAGTGAGCAAAAATCAAAATGACAAAAAGATAAATGCTCAAGTGAACAAAGATAAAAATTCCATGAAATGTAAATGCTAAAGTAAATGGTACATAAAAGTAAAGGCATTAAATAAATAACATAAATTAAAAACTCAAAGTAAAAGTCAATTGTTAAGGAGTTAGGAATTAAAGGTTAGTTGAATGACCATCTTGAAACTTGCATTTGAAAACTCATTAGAAGATTGATAAAATCAAAGCTTCTCAACAGTAAGTTTCATTTGCTTTTTGTCAAGTATATCATTCATTTCAAGTGTTCAAGGTAACAACATGTGATCAAAGATGTTTAAATGATTAACTTAGACCAAAGTTTATGAAGATTCATTAGAGGATAGATAATGCCAAAGCCTCCTAACAATGAACCTCAAGATTATTGGATCAAAGGATTCAAATTAAACATACTTGGGCTTTCAAACATAGGTTTGGGCCACGAATGATCATTTCTCGAATCGAGACATAATTTAGCGCTATGTTAAGCACTCATAAGTGGACTTATGTAGAAGTCACACCTATTTTGAGGTCGGTCAATAGAAGTTTATGTACCATATGTTTGGAGAAATGATATGTAGATTATTCTCTAACAATATGTAGCACAAGTGAGAACGGGATGAGATGAAGAGGGAGAATAAATATTTAAACCAGAGAATTTAATCAAACTATCATTAAAATCATTCATCCATTTTAGTGGAGTTAAACTCAACACCTAAGATCTAATGATGTTAATGAAGCTCATGATTTAAAATCACATAATTCAACATCAGCCAGAATATGTACAAAAATAAAATTGTATTTAATAAGCAAAATATAACGAGAAAATGATTTTTAAACTGTTTTTAAAGTGAAAATAAAAGGGAAAATAACAAACTATATTCAATGTATCAAATAAAAATTAGAAGAAACTATAGAAAAGTCAGAGATGATCTCAAGTATTTTTACAATAAATTTGGTAATTTTTTTAAAATAGAAAAATATTTTTAAATTATTTAGAACCACTCATATAAGTTAAAAATGATTAAAAATCAGGATAAAATTCTAGAAAAAATTCCAGGATGTCAGGAATAAGGAAAGTAATTTTTATGAATTTTTTCTAAATTTAAAAATATCAAAAAGTATTTTTAGAACAATTAAAAAACAAGTCAAACAAAAGAAAAATCATAAAAAATATCAAATTTGAAAATAAAATCATGAAAAAATAAAAATCAGAAAGAGACTATTTAAAAAAAAATTGTGAATTTTTTTATAATTTTTGGGTCAGACATGAACTTTCTATGATTTTTTAAAGTTTAAAACAATTAAATGAAAAAATCAAAAGTAAAAAATATGGACCATTGGATGAGAGTCAAAATGCGTTAGTAAACATATCCAAAGAATCTGGCGCACTGTGCATATTATGGTATGTTTTGAAAATCACACCAAATCATTTTTTAATAATTAAAAGTAACTTAAAATCTGGCACGTTGGACGGAGTTTGACTAATGAAAGTAATCAGATCC